TATTAATTTTATACTTGAATTTTATATAAATTAACGTGTTAAATGATAAGCGAGTAAAGTATGAATTTTTTAATAATAAATTATTAAATGAAAAAACAATTATCATTTAGTTTATTATATTATGTATATAATTTTTGTACCAAAATATCTTTATTGATCCACCCCCTTATGTTTTTTAAGAGACTTCCTTTTAAAAAGGAACATGACTTTTTGAAAGACCTTTCATAAGGATTTTATTAAGGGATTGCTTTCGAATTTCATCGATTGCGGTTCTAGGAAACCTACCCGGAACTAAGTTTACTCAAGCTAGCTCGCTGAACGGCTTAATTTCATCGATTCTTATGTCCGACCGGGTTTGACAAATGTTTTAATAAAGTGTGCGATGAGTCATTAACCATACGTTAATCCTGTCTCCTCAAGATCGTTTCTCACTTTTAGTTGTTACCAAAATCTAAAATTGTTATTCCATGGGACATGGGTTTCGTTTGAATTATATGTCAACTACATGGCATGGGTTGTCAAATTATTTCTATTATTGTTGTGATAGACTAATTACCTTCTATGAGTTATTATGGTAGGAAAACAAATTTACATGTACTATCTTTTGATAAAACAAAAACTAATCACATAGTGGGAAAAAAATTTGACTTATGACATGAGGAGATTTTGGATTTAAGATTTGAAGTCTCACCGTCAAATAACTTATGCAAATAATTATTGTGGATTGCCAAATGTAGAATTTTTTCCCTTTAAAAAACTTTTAAAAAATAAAATGCATTCTCATAACGAACGTTACTTAACACATATAAATCACTTAGTCTCGAATAATAAAGGCTAATTATGAATATCCAAAAAAGTTAATATACAAGAGTCGCTTGTACATATATATGATGTGCTTTTTATTTAAATTATATTTTAATACCAACATATAATAACAATTTATCTATGTGAGCGAACTCTTAACCCCTTGGATAGGATGGAAAGTGGGGGAGAGGAAAGAAAAGTGGGTGGAAAAGAAATGTTTCGTTGTTTGGGAAGAGGAAGGAAAGCAAGTGGAATGAAAAAAAAATAAAGAATGCAAAAATGGTGGGACCCATTTTCCTCCCAAAATTGGGAGGAAACGGAGAGAAAAACGGGAGGAAAGTGATTTATTTTTTGTTTTTTCCATTTCCGCCCTCGCCGTCGTTCCCTTCGTTGGAGCTCGAGATTGAATCGGATACAATTCTTTCCAAAGACCTACATCTCTCTACCCTTTCTCAACACCTCGCTACCCTCAAATCCTATGTTGCCACTCTAGAGCAAAGCTATGGGCACGGACTTCGGAGTTTCTTGACTCGTCGAGTCTCGACTCGAGCTATCTCCCGAGTTGCCGGGTCGATACGGATGGAGATTCAAGCTTGGATTGATCGTGAAAGTATAGAGAGTTTGATGAAATTAATAAATAATCTAGTCTATTTATAGGTTGCAAGATTAAGAAGAAATTTGAAATGATTATGAACCATTATAAGATGCATAAATAATTGAATAAATTACATTATCTTTTCAATTTTTCATATTGAGTAATGAATTGAATCATATGAATAATTAGGAATATGAAATAAACATTCATTATTTCACAACAATAAATATATTAATTTTATACTTGAATTTTATATAAATTAACGTGTTAAATGATAAGCGAGTAAAGTATGAATTTTTTAATAATAAATTATTAAATGAAAAAACAATTATCATTTAGTTTATTATATTATGTATATAATTTTTGTACCAAAATATCTTTATTGATCCACCCCCTTATGTTTTTTAAGAGACTTCCTTTTAAAAAGGAACATGACTTTTTGAAAGACCTTTCATAAGGATTTTATTAAGGGATTGCTTTCGAATTTCATCGATTGCGGTTCTAGGAAACCTACCCGGAACTAAGTTTACTCAAGCTAGCTCGCCGAACGGCTTAATTTCATCGATTCTTATGTCCGACCGGGTTTGACAAATGTTTTAATAAAGTGTGCGATGAGTCATTAACCATACGTTAATCCCGTCTCCTCAAGATCGTTTCTCACTTTTAGTTGTTACCAAAATCTAAAATTGTTATTCCATGGGACATGGGTTTCGTTTGAATTATATGTCAACTACATGGCATGGGTTGTCAAATTATTTCTATTATTGTTGTGATAGACTAATTACCTTCTATGAGTTATTATGGTAGGAAAACAAATTTACATGTACTATCTTTTGATAAAACAAAAACTAATCACATAGTGGGAAAAAAATTTGACTTATGACATGAGGAGATTTTGGATTTAAGATTTGAAGTCTCACCGTCAAATAACTTATGCAAATAATTATCGTGGATTGCCAAATGTAGAATTTTTTCCCTTTAAAAAACTTTTAAAAAATAAAATGCATTCTCATAACGAACGTTACTTAACACATATAAATCACTTAGTCTCGAATAATAAAGGCTAATTATGAATATCCAAAAAAGTTAATATACAAGAGTCGCTTGTACATATATATGATGTGCTTTTTATTTAAATTATATTTTAATACCAACATATAATAACAATTTATCTATGTGAGCGAACTCTTAACCCCTTGGATAGGATGGAAAGTGAGGGAGAGGAAAGAAAAGTGGGTGGAAAAGAAATGTTTCGTTGTTTGGGAAGAGGAAGGAAAGCAAGTGGAATGAAAAAAAAATAAAGAATGCAAAAATGGTGGGACCCATTTTCCTCCCAAAATTGGGAGGAAACGGAGAGAAAAACGGGAGGAAAGTGATTTATTTTTTGTTTTTTCCATTTCCGCCCTTGCCGTCGTTCCCTTCGTTGGAGCTCGAGATTGAATCGGATACAATTCTTTCCAAAGACCTACATCTCTCTACCCTTTCTCAACACCTTGCTACCCTCAAATCCTATGTTGCCACTCTAGAGCAAAGCTATGGGCACGGACTTCGGAGTTTCATGACTCGGCGAGTCTCGACTCGAGCTATCTCCGAGTTCGTTGGGTCGATACGGATGGAGATTCAAGCTTGGATTGATCGTGAAAGTATAGAGAGTTTGATGAAAGGTTTGAAAGAGTCGTTGCAAATTGCGAAAGATGAGTTGGTAAGTTTGTTGATTCGGTTTGAAGAGCGAGTTTCACAAGGGTTTAATCGTGAGTTACAAGACTTGGTGCTTAAATCAAATATTTTTTGTTTACTTGAGAAAATTGTATGGGATCACGAGTTGCTCAAAAAGGTAAGAGAACGAGTGTGCTTTTGTTGTTTCAGCTTTGATTAAATTCAACAAGGATGTTTTTGTTGGTCGAGTGTTGATGGGTCGTTTGATTCATGGTCTTGTCTCAATGGCTTCTTAGAAATCAATCAAAGTACTTTGTTCACTCATTAAGTCGATAAAATCACCATTTGTTGATGAGATTGAATCTAATGGCGAAATCCCAAAAATCATTAGCTTCTTGGACTACAAAGACTTGCATTTTAGAGCCGTAGTAATGGATTGCATTCTTGAAATTGGCTATTTCGGCCGAAAAGAGGCAATTGAAGCTATGCTTAAAGAAGGGTTGATAAAGAAGCTAGTGGAGTTGCAAAGATTAGAACTTGGTGGGGATTTGATTGATATGGGCATGTTAGATCATGAGAGAGAGAATGGTGAAGGAGAGAAGATTGTTTTAGAGAGTCATCCATTTGCGGTTGTGTGGCAAGATTTGCGGTTCAATTAGAGGTAGGAGAAGGGCTAAGGCAAAGTGATTTTTTATTTTTCAATAATAACCGCGAAAATTAAAGTTGATGCTTGATACATATATAGGATCGATCCAAAATTTCATTATAGACTTACACAAATAATTTAAATCCTAAACGAGTCCAACTTAATGTCAAATAACTCATATTCTACTATTAGTATAACCACTCGTATAAATTTATTCAAAAACATACTAAAAAACCTATTATATTATAGCATGATTTTTATTAAATAAAAAGAAAGAAAGAGAAAGAGTTAAAAAAAAAATCATCCTCCTTTCCCATTGAACATTGATATATCTCTACAAGTAAAAGTTTAGATGTTGGATTTTTTGCATTATAATAATCATGCTTAGGTTTAATTCTTGATTAGAAACTACATTTTGAAGTTTCATAACTCATATAGACAAAAAAAGTTTTCAAAAAATTATCATTTTAAAAAATGAGTAAATTATACATTAGTCCCTTTTGTTTAAAGAAATAAATTAATTATTCTTTTTATTTCAAAAACTAATCATTTAATATTTAATATTTTAATTTCGTCAATAACTTAATTAATTTATTAGTTTTTACCGAGTTAGCGACGAAGTGTCCTACTTGTAGTATTTTTTGTTCTCAATTTGTCATTTTTTTATACTTTATTTCTCTCTTTCATTTTTTTCTCGCGCCTCGACTATTATGGTGATTTCTCTTTCAATTTTTTCAATCAATTTCTCTTTTTCCCATCATCATGATGACATTTCTTTCCCCTTAGCCATAAGTGACTCCTCTTTTAACTTTTTCAATAAGTTGATAGGTGAGAAGAGAAAAAAATAGATATATGAAAGATATGATTAAATTATTGACGAAATTAAAACATGAGAGACTAAATGATTTGTTTTTAAGACAGACAGAAGGACTAATTAGTTTATGTTTCAAAACTAGAGGGATTAATTTATAATTTATTATAAACAGTGCAGCAAAAATTTGGGCTTTTCGATAATAATAATAAAAAAAGACAACAAAATTGTTTGGCACCGACCCAAGTAAATACAGTACAAAGCCACCGAGGCCAATGCCAGAACCAATCATTTAATATGCCCTTCCTTAGTTTTTTCTTTATTTTTTGAAAATAGATCCATCACCCTGCTTTTCCCTCCCTTCAAATTTTCACTTCCCCATTTTATGCCTCTAACGGCTCTCTCTCTCTCTCTCTAACTAAACTAAAACACTCGAGTCTTCATTCACCACCAAAACAGCAAAACCCTAGAAATTGAAGATCCACGAAATGCAAGACCTATTTGGATCGGTTCGTCGATCCTTAGTGTTTAAATCCACTGCAGGAGGAGGAGGAGAAGATGGAGGATTCGGTGGTTTAGTTGAGAAAATCGGCTCCAGTATTCGTAAATCGCGAATAGGCCTCTTCTCCAAACCTTCAATACCGTCCTTGCCTCCGCCAACTAAAAAAGAAGATGGGCCGCCGATCCGGTGGAGAAGGGGTGAGTTGATCGGGTGCGGCGCTTTTGGTAGAGTTTATATGGGGATGAATCTTGATTCTGGAGAACTTCTCGCTGTTAAACAGGTTAATACCTTCGTTTGTCGTCTTTTTCTTTGCTTTTGTACCAAGTTTTATATATATATATATAATTTGATTTATTATTATTATTATTCTGCAGGTTTTGATTGCGGCCAGTAGTGCTTCTAAGGAGAAAACGCAGGTAAGGACTGGATTTGAATTTGAATTTATATGTATAAAATTAGTTTCTTTTTGGTAGCTTTTGGCGTGTTTTGATAATTTTTGGTGATTACAATGGTTATTAGTACAAAATTGCTTAATGTCTTTTTTTTTCAACAACTAAGCTTTTACTTCTCTACTTTATTATAAGTGTTCTCGTGGTTAACTGAGGAAATCCTTGCTTCAAATTTAAAAATAGGCACACATCAGAGAGCTCGAGGAAGAAGTGAAGCTTCTCAAGAATCTTTCGCATTCAAATATTGTTGTAAGTATGATATGTAGCTCGCTTTCATTTTGGTGAGTTTGGTTGGTTATTTGCTTATTTTGTTATTTCCATGTTTGGTAGAGATATTTGGGTACTGCCAGAGAGGATGATTCACTGAATATTTTGTTGGAATTTGTACCGGGCGGATCCATATCATCCCTATTGGGAAAATTTGGATCTTTCCCTGAGTCGGTAAGTGATTTCTAGTTTTGAAAAATTAGAATGTGGGTGCTATTTGAAATGTTGATGATGGTCCTTTCTATAATCATTTTCAACGCAGGTTATAAGGATGTATACGAAACAGCTGTTATTGGGACTGGAATACCTTCACAGTAATGGTATTATGCATAGAGACATCAAGGTATTGTGTTGTTGTTTTATGAAGTAGATTATATTTAGAGGATTCCTCTCTCTTTCTCCAAAATCTGACATTGAGCATGCTTCATTTCAGGGTGCAAACATTCTTGTTGATAACAAGGGTTGCATTAAACTTGCTGACTTTGGAGCATCCAAAAAAGTAGTTGAACTGGTATATTCATATTACTATTTTAAGATTTTTTTTTTCAGTTGAGTTTCCATGGGAATTTTTGCTAAGTTTACTATTTTGATTACAGGCTACTATAAATGGTGCCAAGTCAATGAAAGGTACTCCATATTGGATGGCTCCTGAGGTCATTCTCCAGACTGGGCATAGCTTGTAAGAACAATGTTTCAATTTATTCTCATCATATTTGTCCATAATTTGTCTCGATATAAGAGTAGAAGTATGTCATATCTTAATTTTTATGAAATGGCTAAGGCATAGCCTAATTAGTAGCCAAAACCTTTCTGCTAAAGAGGATATCATGAGTTCAAATCCCCTGTCACTAACCCTGTAGAAAACTGAAAAAATATACGACTTATGACATGGTCGACCACATGGTTTCCATCATCAAATGGAATCTCAACATGATCTCTAATCACATAAACTGTATGATGCATGGTGTTAAACATAAGTGCAGTTCATCTAAAATGCAAGGATGTCATGAAACATGACTTGAATCATAAAAATGTCGAAATAATATATGACATTTAAATCACATGGAGATAATGATGATATAACTTGTGTATTAGTCAGCATTGCATTTTAGTTACAGTTTTAAAAATTGGAACAATGCCAGAAGTTTCGGGGGAGGAAAATCATTATATATGCTATGCCCTCATCCAGCATATGATTTTAATCATTCCTCTAATGGGAGAATTAGATTTCTACATATCTAAAGCCAAGTTAGAAGTTAGATTTGAAATCATAAAAAATGTTGAAGGAATTTATATTCAAAACACATGGAGCTAATGACTGATGTAATTTGTGGATTAAATCAGCATTCCATAATATAAGGCTAATGAAGTTTTATTTGCAGTTTTAAAAAGTTAAAAAATGTGAGAAGTTGCAAAAGAGGAAATTTAAATGTGTGCTATGTTCTCATGCATTGTATTATTTTATTCCTCCTGTAAAGAATTACATTGTGTACAAGTCCTAATTTTTCTTTTTTTTGGGAAATCATTGCCTTTGACATTCAATTTCTTAGTTCTGCTGATATATGGAGCGTTGGCTGTACTGTGATTGAGATGGCCACAGGGAAACCTCCATGGAGCCAACAGTATCAGGAGGTACAGATTTGATGCTATTGGCTGATTTCTTTTATTGGTTCAATTTATGTGTAAGATAATTGACTATAATATATTGGATAGTGTATAGTGTTTTTTGATTAGCTTGTAGTCTAAAAACAAGCTACGCTTTCAGGTTGCTGCTCTCTTCCACATTGGGACAACTAAATCTCATCCTCCCATTCCTGAACACCTGTCTATTGAGGCAAAGGATTTCTTGTTAAAATGTCTGCAGGAGTATGTTTTACTTTATTTATCCCAAGTCCTTCATTTGCTCCAATAATCTTTGTTCTTTTGAATGAGCCAACATTTTTTGGCAGATGTGACTTTGTATTCATCATAGATGAATCCTGAAGCATAATTTTATGAATTGTAGTAGATGTATATCTGTACTAAACACTTACGTGTCTATGTGGTGGCAGAGTACCGAACTTAAGGCCTGTTGCATCTGAGTTATTGCAGGTGATTTTGATATGTAGATTATTTTTTTCTATAAAAATTGTAAACTAGTTGTGATAATACACAAATATGCTCTTGTAAAAAATATATGCTGGCAGAATAACTGGTATTGAAAAGATTTTTCAAATTGTACAATGGAAAAAGAAGTGAATGAGGCGGAGAATGGAGAGAATTGGATTAGTGGGATGATAAATGTGCAGTTGAGTGGAGATAATGATAGGATATAAACATTAAATTTTGGCTATTTCGAATTATAAAATTACTGTAGCAACCTTTGTTTGTTTATTAATTCTTATATTCATGACTGTTCCTCTCACTTGGAGAACATTTACTCAAACTCTCTTGGATTGATTAATTATAGAGAATTAAGCATGAGATAGAGTTTCACTTATTACTTCTTTTTTTAAACATGTGCAGCATCCATTTGTCACTGGTGAATATCAGGAACCTCCTTCAGTATTCCGCAATTCAGCTAGAGTAAGTATAGTAAGATATGCTGGTTTGATTACTGTATTCTGTGACCATCAATTTGTCAATTTTTTTTCTTTTCAGGAATCTGGAAATCTGATAGCAGCTACTGGGATGAATCTCAAGAACTCGTAAGCTTTTTAACTTTGTGATTCTTGCAGTTTTGTTTTCTTTTTGTTTGTTTGTTTTTTTTTTTTTTTTGGTTGCTATTTTTGACTCTTGAAGGTGTATCGATGGTGCAGCATGAATTCTGTGATTAGAAGGTCAACTTGTGCAGGATTGAAGGATGTTTGTGAAATGGGTAGTTTGAAGTCATCAACTGTATATCCTGATAGCTTGTCAAGATCCTACTGGGGTGCAGCCAATTTTGATGATGATATGTGTGTGATAGATGATAAAAATGATTTTATGGTTAGTGTATCAACTAGGTTCAAATCTACCTTAGCATCTGCTGATTTAAATAAGGTGATGAGCACTTCTTTGTCTGACCATGTGTTGTAGGAGCTTGTGTTATATTTAATAACAGAATTGTTTCTTTAAACCAGAGTTTCAACCCTATGAGTGAACCCACGGATGACTGGCCATGCAAGTTTGATGAAGATCCATTGTTTAGGAGAAGTGGAATTAACTTGTCTTGCAGTCAGTCAATCCATGAAATCGATAGCCATGAAGCATCTGGTAAGGGACAAAATGAATTCACATTTCCATGTGGGCCAGTGGTACCTGAGGATGATGATGAAGTTACCGAGTCCAAAATTAGAGCTTTTTTGGATGAGAAGGTACATTTTTGTTCATGCACACTTATATATTGTGAGTAAATGATGACATCGTCATGCTATGTTTCATATCGTGGATGATTTGAAAACTCATGAACATTTGAAATGCATCATACATTATAGTCAAGAGTGAGCTAGGCGCTTGCCCTGGTGCTGAGGCAATGCAATGGCAGCTTCAGACTTTCAAGGAGAGGCAACTTTAATGAGATGCCTGCCTTTTGGACCTATGCAAGCGCCTTGGCAAAGATGAGAGGTGTTTGGGATAGGCACGTGATTGAATCTGTCATTGCTGCTAGCTTACAAAAATGGTCCTTGATTATATACGAGGTCAAGTTTGGCATGCATTTCTCAATCCTAAAATTCAAAGAGTAGGACCATTTTGTTATCACATTACTTTTCAGTTCTTTCCATAAAATTGTTTCATCGACCATTTTTTAGCATGCTCCAACCATTTAAATGGTACTTTTGGCATTCTAATGCCAATCCAAATTAAATTAACAATCATCATCATTGTTATTATTTCTAATTTTATGTGCTAATGATTTCCTCCCTCTCTCTGAGGAAAAAAAAAAATCATGTCTGTGCCTATGAATGGCTAATATTTTTAGCTATTTCTGCTCTTCCAGCGTTCCTCTTTTTTACATTTTCTTTCAATATTCTCGTTTCCCATTTTCATCATTCTATAGACTTGTACTGCTGAAGCTCTTTCTTCCGAATTTTCTTGCCATTCCTTTCTTTACAGTTCCTTGCAGTTGCAGAACCTAAAGAACAGAAGAATATTGCAGGCATAAATAGTTGAATGGCTTTTAACTTGTCAAACATGCAAATTGATAAAAAATTTGTTAGTGCTCATCATGCTTTCACCACCTTTGACTACACTATCCACTGGTATGATGAAATTGTTAATACTTGTTCTTCGAAACTTCCCAAGGCTTGTGATTTGAAGAAGCTGCAGACGCCTCTATATGAAGAGTTCTACAACAGCACTCTGAATACAATTGGAGCTCCAACTGCAGTTGGAACAGAAAACAACGAAAATCCTACACATTTACCGAGTTTACCTCCTAAAAGCAGGTCACCTAAACGTTTTCCTAGCAGAAGACTATCTGCTGTTGTTGATGCTGCCAACATTGTTAGTCCTGCTTATCATACTAGTCATTTAGCAAACGAGAATAGCATCCATAATCAAGCTTTGCAGGAAATTCAGCCATCTCAGCTAAGTGAGTGGAAAGAGTTTCTTCATAATGGCCAGCAGGAAACGCTTACTTCTAGGTTTGTTCACCACTATTTGATGCTTGCTTTAGTCAATTTTGGTAAAGAATCACATCTGACATTATGTTACCAGAGAATGACATTAGTTTGACTTGCAGCGCAAGCTTCTCTGAGAGGCAAAGAAAATGGGAAGAAGAGCTCTATCAAGAGCTTGAAAGAAGACGAGGCAAGTTTTAATTTTAATCACTTGATATAAAACTAAAATTTTATTAGTTTTCTGTTGCTGGGATTGGTCCTTTGAAATCCCCCTTATGGTAAATTTTGAGGGTTTCTTCTTTTGCTGAATCTTGCTATTAGAACTTCATCTCATTTTCAAAACGTTGCGTTGTGTTGAGACTTGAGATAAGAACTGCTATTTTTTTTAAAAATAAAAATAAATGCATATACTCTTTCTTGAGTCCTGGATGTGAAGCTTGTGTTAGGGTTGCAGAATGAACAAGTGAATGACCTCCTGTATATTATGAGGATACGTTTGCTTGTTGAGCTCAAAAGGGTCGGGGTGCATTTTTCATGAATTTGGCATCACTCAACTGAATCCTTGATGGGTGGGATAGGTTTCTAGGCTCCAGCATTCCCGTTGTTGCCTTCATGAAACTTGTATAATGATCCCTTTTGTTGGACAAAGACAAAGTAGTTTTGTTATGTTGACCAAAGACATGGACATACTTGCAAACAGATTTTCTTTTCCCCAGAATTAGTTGGAAAAACAAATGCGGTAAAAGCATGCAAAATGAAATTTTAGAACAATTTACAAGCCAAAGATCATATGAGACACTGGCACACTGCACATTTGACACGAGTTGGAGAATGGAGCCTTTTATTCAGCTCTAAACTCATAAAATTTTTAGATTCCCAACCTATACATTCTATTCAGCTCTTTCGGTGGTATTACAATTCTGAGTGCCTATTTCAGAGATGATGCGCCAGGCAGGTGTGGGAGGGAAGACATCATCTCCGAAGGATCCGATTCTAATGCGACAGCGGGAGCGGTTACGATTTGCATTCACTGGCAAATAAATGTTTGTACATCACTTGTATTTGTCTTATTGCCTGATGGAAAAGAAACATGCTTTTCCATTCGGAGTTTTACTGTATCTAGTTATATATATATGGTGAGCTGGTGTCTGATGATATGTAAGAGGCACTTTGCCACAGGCAACCTTCCACCCGTTGTATTACATCCTCGTGGTTCAGCCAAAAACAAATTGTTATAAGCAGTATCCTTGTTTGCTTTTTCTCCACCTCGTTGAGGTGAGTTAAGTTGATGTAAGTTGTTGCGGGATTCAAAACATAGAGAATGAAATATTTTTTGAGTGTGTTCAAAACACGACATGTTGTTAACATGCTGGCACGATGTAGCTTTAGACAGTTTTGGGTGGTACGAAGAAGCAGTACGTTAACGGCTCTTGAGAATCCATTTTTCTAATGCTTGCAATGCAGCATATGAATCTCCAAATTGAAGGAAATGGCTTTAAAAGAAAAGGAAAAGAAAATTCTAGCGTTTTTGTATTGCTTGTTAAGAACAGGAAAAAGGTAATGGGCTGTTTGCAATCAGGAAGGTGGCTGGTTGCATCCGGTGTATGTAACTATGCTGTGGGGCAACGCTTAAAATGATGGAGGTGAGGGGAGTGGCAGGCAGGTCTATCCTTTTCCTTTCTTTTTGAAGATGCTAAACGTGGAGTGAGTTTTGGCATACATTAAGACTAGGAATAGCAATGGCCGGGTGCCCAGCCCATTAAGGCAATCCCATATCCCACCTATTAGAAAATACTATATTTATTATCCTGTTTATTATCTATTACAAATCACTTATTCATTTTTTTATCCAGAACATACTCATTATTGCTCATACTTTATACATATCCGTTTACCTGCTAATTTTTTTTCTTAAAATGAAGATTTTCTTTTTTTAATTTTTTCCTTTGAGTTTTAAAATATTTTTAATTAAAGTTTATTTTATATAAAAAAAATTGTATTCGGTAGTAAAGATTTTCTCGTACAAATTTGAGCTTCAGCCAAGAAGACGAACTTGAGCGTCAATAAACTAATTAAACCCCTCTCATTATGTCTTAATAGTGCATTCCTATTTTTACTTATTGCATTAAGAAGAATTTAATAAATTCTCCTCCATGCTTGACTCCAAAATTTGAATTAAGAAAGTTAAAAAATTCATTAAACTTTTTTAATCACTAGACCAAGATTTTGAAATTAATGATGAGACTTTAGTTCGTTCATGGACTTGAGAGGATTTTGATGGAGTAGAAATGGCAACAAATATGATGGGCTGTCCTTTGATATTTTTGGATGTGTGAAGTGGTCAGACTCAGGAGAGAATGTTCATATGGAATTGGAATAAATTCAACTCGATACCACGAGTGAGAGTAAATATTGTATACAACGAGTGCCTCCAACACATAGTTATTTGATGTTGATTTAAATTAATCTTAACAAAACTTAATTACATGACTAAAAAAAAAATTGCTTATAACACTAGTACCAAATCCAATTATAATTATAGTTGGACTGTTTTTGGAAGGATTTTATGAATAACTTTTACTAATTGAAACACGACAATTTCAATTAATTAGAATCCAATTCAAACTTAAAGGAAAGAAACGCTTAAGAAATATTATAGGAAAGAATGCAAAATAAAAACGCATTGCATAAAAAAAGAAAAAAAATAAACCCCACATATATATATATATATATATATATATATATATATATATATATACAAATGCTTTTGATTCATCAATAAAAGAAATTGCTGATTTTTTTTATTTATTTGAAAATTGTGTTTTAGTATTTTTTTTATGTTAATGAGTAAAAGATGGATATCAATAGGATAAAAATAGAGTATCTATATTTATAAATAAATTGTCAATTAACATAAATGAGTAATATTATTTTATACATATTTATTTCATTATTCATTTAGTTATTTTAGAAGGATGATTAATAAGCAGACTAGGTAGGATACCTATTTCTATTTTGTACCCGGCCTATTACCAACTACCATCCCTACTTAAGACTTAAGCACAGCACTTCCAGATGTTTTATTCTTGATTTCCTCTCATAGTAAATTTAAATAACAAAATCAGATCATTAACCTTTTCTTTCCTTACTGGTAAACTTGAACGACAAAATCAATTTTACTGATATTGATCTTTGACCATATTTCCATCACTGATATATTATAAAATTAACGTAATAGAATTGTTCGTTAACTAAAATTGTAATTTAGCAAACTTTCCCTTGTATTCCAGGATTTAGATTTAAGCTGTAACATAAGTAATCTTGTTAAAGTAAACCAGACGAGCCCACTTGACAAAGAGGGGTATAAGAAGCCGTTTCAAATTTCCATTTTTCGGTCAAGCTAATTCAGTTCCTCCTTTTTTATCGCCCACTGAAAGAGTTATTGCTTCCATAGTCGTACCCATCCCTCACCAATCACCATTGCCCATTTTCAAAGTTGGGATTTTTTTTTTTTTTTTTTTTGTCTTCTTCTTGCTAAAAATATGCCACCAGGGTCACTGTCATTTCAGAATTTAATACGGTCTTCTTTGCATGTCCTTATGTTTTTCTCGTGGGAGGCCCGTGAGCTTAAGCTTGCACGATCCATTCGTTTCACAAGGCTGCCAAAGTAGCTCCACACATGGTTAGACGGCAACTAATGCCACTGGGCCACATTGTCTCCATTTGCTCTGCAAAAGCTTTTAAATGGGCGAGACATGTTTTTTCAGCCAAGAAAATGACGATTTTCTTGGGACGGAGGATTTGAATATTTATACCAAACAAATTAAATGGAGGACGCCGACAGACAGAATTCGGATTGAGAAAACTAGGCCGACATTTGTGGGAGCCCAGCCTAGGTCTACATACAAGGTGATGCACATGGAAAATCACGAGGTTCAAGCTTCCACCCCAATCAAGGTCTTTGAATTTCAATTTTTTTGGTTGCAAGTAGACTCCGGCAGCCGAAAGGAATTTTGTAGATGGAAAGAATAGTACTACTTAAGAAATTTGTGGTAAATATTTTTGATCCCAGATAAATGTGATCAGGAGACACCATACTGGTCCAAATAATTCATTTTTCATGCCAATTGAGTCGTGGGACTAAGGGATTGTTTGAGTTGTGTAATTTTAAAAGTTACACATAGTGATTTCTTAAAAATATACCTAACAATATTTCTAACCAAACAATATGTCAAAATTGCAAAATAAAGGCTATGCACTTTTGGAAGGAATACTATTAATTTTGGGTTTAATGGTAAAAATTACTCTTGAATTATTGAATTATGACGATTTAAAGCCCGTACTATTAATTTGGACTATTTCAATCCTAAACTATTATTTTTTGAACAAATATTATCTTTTTTCGTTATTTTCAATAGTAAAAACTTGGATCGTTTACTGAAATTTGGTTTAAAAGCAAAAATTATCTCTAAACTATTCAAATTGTGACAAAATAAAACCAATGCTATCAATTTGGATTATTTGAATTCTAAAGTATAGTTTTTTGACAAATTTTATCTTTGTCCATTATTTTTGACAATCAAAGTGGTGGCCATTTTGCTTTTTTATTTTTTGAAAATTAAAATTAATTTTGAAATTTTTTTTTAATAATAATTAATTTTAAGGTAGTTTAGATGATTTTTTTTGTTTATGTATCTTACTTTTGTTGTTAGATAATTAATGAAATGCAATAGATTCATCTAGTTAAAAAAAATAAAATGAATTACTAATTTTAGTTATAAGAAAAAATCTGAAAGGTTTAAAATGACATCATTTTAAATATTTTAATTAACGGTCAGCATTTTAACTATTATAAATAATAAAAAATGATAAAATTTGTCAAATTAATTAATAATCCGACGTTCAAATAGCTAAATTGGTAGTATAGATCATATTTTGCAACAACTTCAATAGTTTGAGAGTAAATTTTGCTAATAAACCATATTTCGTTAAAAATAACAGAAGAAGCGTAATATTTTTATAAAAAAGAAATAATAGTTTGGAGTTCAAATAGCACAAATTAATATAATATAGGCTTTAAATTGACATAACTCAATAATGAATTTGAAAATAATTTTTTCCATTAAATCATAATTTTTGGGGAGGAAAAAAAACAATAGAAATGATGAAAAGAGGAACCTTGATCACATTTATTGAAAAGGGGCAGATTTCGGTATTTTACTTTTTCACAATAATGTTAACGCTTTAGTAACTGATAACATGGGTGTATATATACTGCGAAAGCAGGCCCTCCGTTTCTTGAAGTTGAAGGATGATTAGTTCGGTAAGGAATGACTCTTTTTTCTGTGCGTTATACATAGAAGAAGCCAATTAAAGAGCTGTTTCGAGTCACTGATTGGTGTTGTGGTGGTTGTTTGCGCCGCCTACCTTGAATTCCTCATGTTTCCCATTGTCCGTACATGATATTGAACCTGTCTTGCCTCATTCTTCCAACAAAACAATAATTAAGAATCTGTAAAAATTCCTCTTGCTTCACATTCAAAATTCAATGTAATGCTACCTGTTTTATCAAGTAATTGGTTGGTGAGGTCAAAAGTTAATGATCAAAAGCAAGCCTTTTTTCAGCATTTATTAATATTTTCTCCTGTTTTTCTACTGTTGCATGGAGGTGTGGGGATCAGGGTTTTACAAAACAGAATGAAAAGCATATTTTTTTGTTGATTGGGAGGAGACTAAAGTGCTTGAAAAGACGTTTTAATTTGTTGGGTGAGTTGTTCATGGCTTCTTTCTTTCTTTCTTTCTTTCTTTTTGCGGTAAAAAGGAGCCTCTAGACGTGAAAGACCAGGATTCTGGGAGATCAAACATGATCATTAAAAGGAAGAGTGAAAATATCGGACGCAAATCTACATGCAGAAAAAGATGAATAGCTGAAGGGAAAAACATGTTCTAGTTCCTTAATTTCTTTGTTTATGTGCATTCTTGTAGGTCCAGATACCTTTATAATAATAATATTTTTAGTTTTACATGTGTGGAGATCGTAAGAAAATTCTAACTAGCCAATCTCTTTTCATTCTTTTTTGTTTTGTTTTTTATAGATTATATCATTCATAGTTTCTGATGATTTGGATTACACAATTTAGTAGCCTTCTCCTATTCTTAATCGATTCTCCCACATGTTTCAAAGAAAAACCATTGATAAAAAGTGAAACCGACTCATAATAGACCACAATCACGAATTGATTAGTGAAGTTCCGCTTTATTTATAATTCTTATCCACCAATCACAGTGGTATCATGTCCAGCGCAAGAATTCGATTCCAGCTGGGGGCTAGTCAATATTTCAGACAAATACAAACTCATTCATTCTAGCTAGCCACCAAAATTTGATTGCAAGAACGATGAAATTAGAAGCAAATCCCTGAACTTCATGACGTGTTATGCTATAGGAGTCGCAAATGCGTTCTGTTGAATATTCTTTCAAAAGAGAGATGGACTGGGATCTTTAACTTTCCTTTTCTGTGCATTAGAATGATTTTTGTGCCCCCACTTTTTGCTTTCGAAAAAGCACAGAAATGCACTGTCCCGTCCCTAATACTGAAGGCATGCATAGACACGTAAGTATAAAATGGGGGGTGGTTGGAGTGTTTCATGGCTTTCACTGGCGCTCGCGATTGCCAACCAATTGAAACCAAATCAAATGGATAAGCACATAGAAACTCTAGTGGTCTTAATTCAAGACCCAACTTTATGGACCCCTTCAATGGCTCAAAATAGTCCTTATCTTATACTGTTCCCTTTGTTTTTTGGTAAACCTTCTTTAGTAAGTTTAAGAAGCACTTCTCTCTCAAAATGCAACATGTATGGCCTAGCTAGCTAGCCACTCTCAACGTTCAACTACAAGCCTTTCACCTTTTAATCAACGATTTTATCGGAAGATTGGCATTTAAGGAAAGGGTCCATTTTGTATGATGTGGATGACATGGATGGCCATTTAATAACGAAAGGATCAATTAGGATGTTCATCATCTGCTTTTATATGTGGAGTGAAACTCATGGAGAAGTGACCAAATGATTTTGCAACCACAATTACACATATATGCACATTTATGATGTTTGGTTTTGGAAAAAAAGAAAAATATATAACTCTCAGGTGTGGTTAGAAATATTCAATCATATTTGAGCAATTTTGATATTCATCACGATGTGTTTTTCCTTTTTTATTTATATGCACGCGTATGTTTACACGTGTATATATATCTATGTGTGTGTGTATATATATATATATCCTATGTGATTCAAGAGAAATCTCAAATTAGTAATTCCTAAGCTTCACAATTTCCCAATAAGATATATCTCAGTAGGTTGATTATCAAACCTTGCTCAATTTGAGTTCTTTCATCTATCTAAATAAATAAAATTCACCCTTCCTTTTATGCAATACAATGATTCTATTTTGAAAAGAACTTGAAATTTTCTTTTAAAACAATTATGAGAAATTTAGATAATTGAAGAACCCAGTTGACGAATGTATGATAAAGAAAGAATGAAATTGACAGAATTAATTTCCTTAGGATGGAGTTAAGAACACCGTAGGGATGAAAAGTCCAGATTTCCCTGGCCCTGTTTTAACGAGATCTATACATATACTTGTGGAAAAACTCATTTTGGAACTTTGTACATGTTTGTATATATCAAATGGACAAATTGAGTCATGTGTTAATAATTTTATAAATTCAATTCTATAATTGTTATATTTAAACAATTTGATCTATCCGACTTTAATTGCTAATAAAAATTCATGTAACATTTAATTTTAGAAATCGAGAATAACTGTATTAAATTGCGTAAATAGAATTCTCAAAATTATTTAAATAAGATTTAATATGTCAATTGAGGCAGAGATAAAGAAAAGAGAAGAAAAATTGAATTTTTTCTGTATTTGTGCGTATGATATAATAATTATTTGACTATTCCTTTTCGTTGCAGGGCAACAGACACACGACCATGGTGTTTTAATGGACAGTACGTACGATTTCTCGAGCTCCATGATTGAGCATTGAGAGGGGCCTACTGTGTTATCCACATCCAAAGATCGGTGAATTAGTCAATTTTTTTGGTATGGTCCCTTGTTAGGACTGGCCGGTTTTATTTTGTGCAAAAGGTTGAGTTGGGTGGATATTAGAGTGGGGTCTAAGGTGGATTGTGCTTTTTCATTACGAAAGTTGCTTGCTTTTGTTGGTGACGCCATGTTTAATTAATTAGACCCACAAGAATGCTAATTAATTTTTATTTTCTTTTTGTTTCTTTCCCTTTACTAGTTGGCCTCTCGAGTATTTTTTTTTCAAGGCTTAACAATCGAAACAATTCGTGAAGAAAATTGGGTTCGGTTCAAAATTATTATTTTTTATTTTGAAAATAATATTGATTATAATTTCGACCAATCAAATTGATTTGTTCCACTGATTTGTTTTAATTTTCCTGATATTTTGATTTAGGTTTTTTTTTTTATCTGTGGTTTATTCTTCATAAAATTTCTCCTTATAGAGGACGTTAATTGACCACGATACAAGATGTCAATCAAAATATGGGACCTTGTACTTCCATAAAAGCTATAAAAAAAAAAAAAGTAGATGAAAAAGAACCATGTTACGTGGAGTACAGTTCAACCAGACCCTTTCTTTACCATTTATAGAAAACTTTGCATATTGCCACGTACGGCACTCACTCCTTCCGCCCACGTTTGTTATTTGTTTGAGATTATGATTAGGAGATTGTGAAAAAATAAGAATACCAATTTAGTATATACGTCAATGGGTTTTCCCTTATATAGCAATTGTATTTTTGAAATTATTTTAATTGCTATCATTTTTTATTTTTTTTCATTAACCGAATCTTTTTTTTTTTCTTTAACTTTTTTATTTCCTGATGTGTTGTGCTGCATCCATTTCTAGATGCATGACACGTGTTATATGTAAAACTTCAATAAAAAAATTGAATCAACACAATTTAAAAAGTATAAAGACTCAATTAACATAATTTAAAAAATATAAAAATTAAATTATTAGTTTTTTTATTTTTGATTTTCATGTTATTATTTTCTAAAACTTCATCTTAAATGCACCTAACGTGCCATATGCGAGATACAATAAAAATGTAAGATGTTTCTTTTATAAAAAAAATTATTATAATAAGTTAAAAATAATAAAATAATATGTAAAAAAAAATCTACCATTTAATTATTAAAAAAATATATGGTGATGCAGAATATTGATTAGCCACAAATTTTTATTTAATGGATCTATTTCTTCACAAACAATAAGAAATTCCAAATATTTGAAAATTTTAAAGTGAAAAATGCGGTTACTCAAAGAGATAAAAAAAGACTAGAAATTGTATCATATTTTTTATTTCTTCGACATAGATAATTAGCTATTGGTCAACATTACATATGTTTTCATTTTAATGTGATGAATATATTTGTACTTTTTTTTAATAATTGCATGTTGTATTTGTTTTATATATGTTTTATTATTTTAAAATTATTATAATAATTTTTTAAAGAAAATACAATTCATTGTTTAGTTGTGAGAAGGTTCATATATGACACATTTTGTGGCATTCCATGTGAGGTTTAAAAAACATTGACATGAAAAATAAAAAAAAATGTCATTATACTTTTCGAATCATATCGAATGAGTCTTTGTGCCATTCAGATTATTTGATTGAGTCATTTACGTGTGACACTTGACATGTATTTAAGAGTGAATATTGTATGAAATCAACTCACGAACTAACAGTGTTTAACGAAAAACGAAAACAAAACTAAATGAAGAGCAGAAAAACTCAATGAGCACAAAAAATGGTATAAAATCTCAATAAAAAAAATGAAAATACAAGGATTATATATAGGCAAAACCATAAATCAATATATATATATATGTTTGATGTATATTAAGAATAATTCAAATATTTTCATGAAATAAAAGAGGCTATTCAACTCTCTAAACTCTGTGCGGCCTTATTATGCTTATATTTTAAACAATTTTTTATCCAATTTTTAAAAATAAAAATTTATTGTAAAGAGTTTGTTTTTGGAAAAATATATTGTGACAAAATAAAACCAATGCTATCAATTTGGAAAAATATATTGTTCAAATAGCTAAATTGGTAGTATAGATCATATTTTGCAACAACTTATTATGCTTATATTTTAAACAATTTTTTATCCAATTTTGAAAAATAAAAATTTCTGGTAAAGAGTTTGTTTTTGGAAAAATATATGTGAAAAGGATGTAAAAATTAACTGATTATAAGAGAAGCATGTTTTCTTGTGCTTTTCTTATGATCAATTAAAAAAATATATTATTAATAGATTTTTGGTCTAGTGATGCGGTGAATTCTTCAGGTTTGCAAAAAAATCATGAATTCAAATCTTCTCTTTAGAATTCTATTTATTAAAAAAAAATTAAAAAAATACTGTATTTATAAGCACAACAAGACCCAACAGACCTTTAATGTGGTTTGCTAAACATATTACTAATTAAAAAAAAAAAAATAGAATGGAAGTAAACCGCCTCCTAAACATGTTGCATTATTTTGTCAAATTACCAATTTTATTTTTTTAAAAACCTTTTTTTTTTAATTTTTCCTTTTCTATTTATAAGAGAAAAGATTGTGTATAAGGTTTTGCTATAAATCATTCAAGATTGAGTCATGAAAGTTGTAGCGTCTAAATCTGAATTCTCCCACTCATCTTAAAAAAAAAAAAAAAAAAAAAAAGTCCAAAACTTTGAGACAAAGTTTCTTTATGACAATTGGCTTTTCAAAAATATGTTTTAGCAAAGAAGTTAAGGTAGTGGAACTCAGGCTTTAATTGCCAAACGCGCAAAAGAAAAGCCAGGCTTTTCAAGTCCTTAACCACCAAGAAATCCATAAAAATCCAATCAGATTGGGCACTTTTTAGCTAATTGTCCTCAATAATATTTTACATTCTTGTAGAATTTACCTAATTTCTCACGAATGCCGCATCCTTACTTGGCTGATCTTTATGGATCAATTTAATTAGATGGCCAGCTCGTGCGTGGATATACTTGAGGAAAAGTATCCATTAATTATGCACAGATTTCTACTTTTCTTTTCTTAAAAAAATAATAATGATCTTCTCTGTTGTTAAAGTAACATGTCATCTAAAAATTTAAATTATTAAATAAAATCTTAAAATATAAATTTATATTATTATCTAATATTCCTTAAATTCAAACACGTGTGTCAAATTCAACATGGAGGACGGACGTGCTAGAGTCGAGAGCACAAACATTCGCCTGTATATCTTTGGAACATACACCATAAATCCTATTAATGTTTTTTTTTTTTTCTTTTTCTTTTTATAGGCAAACAAAGATAATATAGGAAAAGGGAAATCCACACATTTTGCCCTGAGATATATCGAGAACTACTTTAAACATGTATACGGCCGCTGATAGGACATTAGAGTAACTCTCTTTTGCCTTCACATGATTTTTATCCATTAATTTGAAGTTTTGTGGAAAAAAAAAATTAAAATCAAAGGTCAGATTTGATTGGTAAAAGATCTACGCGATCAAGAGTTTGGACTTTGGAGAGAAATTTAGCTTGAAACGGAGAGGGAAAAAACAAAACAAAACAAAAAAATACAGTACGAACATAATAATTACAATGACAACGATGTTTTATTTTTTTTAAAAAAAGTATATAACCGTACATAAACATCTACCATTTGTTTTATACTTTTAAATATGAATAAATTGGATCCCAAATAATTAGCAAAAATTACGTAATTAGCTTACCAGCTAAATTATATATCAAGCAATATTATAAGCCTCTTTTGAGATAATTTGCTTAAGAAGGTTTTTTTTTTCAAAAAAAAAAAAAAAACTTTAATTAAAAAAAGGCTGTAGGACGTGTTAAAATCTGGACCATATTGTTTCCTTTCAATGAGCCACAAAGAGATTCATGGAGATCTTTTATGGTGTTTGTTTGTTGCTCTGTACACCATGATAGAGACTGTGTACAATTACTTGGAAACAATAAACAACACGTGATATTAACATTTTAAAAATATTTAACCTAATTCTCGTTATCTTACCTTATTTTTTGCTCCTGTCTCAAAAATATTAATTTGGGATAACAAGAGTATGATTAAGATGTGAACTAATATAAAGAATAATAATAATAAACTCTGCAACCATTAATCAGATGCAAACTGATCACATGTAGAAATAAGTAACGCACTCAATACTCATGTTTCAGTAGGTATGAAAACCCTCGTAAGGTTTTGCTTAAAAATCAGCATTTTATTTGAAATTCAGTAACAGTCATGGTGACTTGAAGGTATTGTAAAGATCCCCACGATAGAACCTAGCCCAGATAGAAACTGGCTGAGAGTGATTCGGATCTCAGACGTGGTTCTGCGGGCAGTGGTAATTGGTACAAAGAAAAAAGATACTGAAACTTGCACTTTATCTTTTTGGCACCCCGTGGCCCTGTACTCCACTTTGCATTGCCGGTGTTTTTACACATTCATTCGTTCAACTTGTGATGTAGGCAACACTTACAACAGGTTGCTTTGTTTATTTTTATGTGAAGATCTTGTCAGACTGTTAAAATTGTACGGATTTATACTGTACCGCACACACACGTCTTGCTGATCATGATTCGCCTCCAAAGGGAATAAGACGCGGTTTTGGGTTGACATTTAGTACCAGCTGCGCATAGATAGAGAGAGAGAGACGCTCATTTCTCGTAATTAATTGATATTAATTCGTGCTTAATTGGCCGCTAGTTGCTACCTTCACGAACATAGAATCATCAAACGACGTTTTATGTTTCATTGTAAAACATTATTGCCTGAAATAGAAGTTAATGCTACTAGTGTCTCGTTTAGTGGCAAGATTAGGCTCATGCATTCCTCGTAAAAAGAAAGAAAGAAAGAAAGATTGTGTTCCTACGAAATCTTGAATTTGATTGATAATTTATTCGATTGAGGAAAGGAAACCTAAGTCAAATCTAGAGCGTGACTTCGCTAAATGATTTCTTTGTCAAGAGTGCCAAGGAATCGATTTTGAGTTCATTTAATTTGTTTTGCTCTTTAGTCAGCTAGTTTAATTAATAACACGAGTTAACAAAGTCGGAAGAGGGAGTAGAACTCAACATGCTCGAGTTCTGCCTTGAGAACCAAAAACTACATGCTTCGAACATTAATTCTTGTTAAGTGCTTAGAGGTGGAACTTTAAAATTCATTGCCAATAAGCTTTGCGGTTCAATGACACCTTTGTCCCCTCCAAATTAAATTTGCAGAAGATTTGAAAGAAAAAAAAGACATTATTAATATTAGGAATATGAAAAAAGATAGACCGACTATACATTCAATAAAGAGTATTATATTTCTATATATATATATATATATGAAAATAGATTTTATTATACTGTGGAAATATAATTAAGATACCTTTACAAGTGAGGGTAACAGAATCGAATTAAGTTTTCTCTCAACTATATATTATTAATTTTTCTTGCTTTTCTTCTTCGTGATCATGTCATGGAGATGGACAATAGAATGCCACTTCAGTATTAAATGGGTGAAGGAGCAACCCCATATGCGACAAGGCTTCATGGGTGATACGACACACACATATACATATATATGGAATAAAAAATAAAAATTATTTGATGATTCAACCGTCCAATTTGACTGAAAATATTTTTCTAGATGGAGCACTTGCAACACATTGTGACAGTAGGAAACAGCTTCTTAAGGATTTAATTTTATGCTTCATCGTGTTAGCATTAATTTTACTTGGTCATCCATGTCTTTGTCTTCACCTAACTTAGATAGAGAAATAGTATTATTCTCCTCACAAGTTTGCTTTCTGTGTTGAGAAAGACAAAGAGCATCTTGGAGTAACGATAATAACTACCTACTACAAAGCATGTTATTTCTTAACAGGTTAACTCATGAGAAAAAGAGAAATTCCATTCGAGAAAGGAAAGAGAACAAAAAGATTAAGGGACAAACTGAAAATGGTAGAATTTGATTAATTATAGTAAAGAGATCCAAAAGAAAACTTTACGATGTAGCCACCCAAAAAGGCTCCCAGTTTAACAATCCTTTCTCCTCTCTCTCACCTTCTTTGCACCTTCTGGGTCCTTGAAACTCCTCCATTCCCATGGCCATGTCCAAATCATCAGCACCCTCCTCCTCTTCTTCAAAGTATGCACCATTTTCTGATTCCCCAACATCCAAATCATCTACTTCCTCATAATCCATGTCATTTTCAATCTCGTCATCTTTGATATTGCCTTCATTTTCTTCAGTGGAGGCTCCACTTTTTGAGTCAAAATCAGAAGTGGAATCTTTGAGAAAGCTTAATCGAAGGCGGCCATCCCTTCTTTCAGCATGTAAATAAGTGTGTCTTGATGGAGCCTCAACGGCTCTGATTATCAACCTTCCATCTTCGCGGTGGGGCCTAACTTGTAGACATTTTGATCCACTTATCGTTGTCAAGGGAGGTGGAAAACTACGAGAAATCGCTTTGTTAGCTCCCAAAAGTTGACGCGACTTCTGTAGCTCCCTTGATGGAGAATTTCCTACCATCGAGTCTGGTGAAGACAATGAGAAAATGTTGTTTTCAATGATATCATCACTTCCACTTTCGCTACCTAAACTCTCCGTACATAATTCCAGGCTCTTCCCACTAAGCATTGAAGAGGAACGATTAATTAGAGGGTGGACGTATGTATTTTCTTCCTCCATTGACTCTTTGGGACCTTGAGGACTGGTAGATAGAGCTTGGAGGAAGCTCCAGCCAGCCAAATCAGGATTTGAAGATGTATGCTTATCATGAAGGAAACTAGTTTTGTGGCTAATTTCCTCATACTGGCATTTGTCACTCACTTCTTTGGTGTCAGAATCTAACAAACAAGGCTTTAAGGCTAATTCAAGGGATTGAGCGAAGTGAGAATTTGGTGAAGATAATCTAAGTCTTAGTGTTCTTGACTCAACAATAGGGGACTCGAGGCATGACTGCAAGCCTTGGCAAACCATAGTTGCCATTGCATAAGCTATTTATACAAGTTTTATGACAGATGCAAGCAAGAAGTTGCAAGAAACCCACCAAGATTATATGGAGGCAGAGCAAAAACAGAGGATTTAAGACTTTTGGGGCTAAGAGGTTCTTGTTTTGCGAAGAGAGAGAGAGAGAGGGAGGAGAGGATGGGTGAGGAGACACTGAACATAAGGGATAACTGAGGCGCGGGGTGTGAATTTGTAGTCTCCAAAAAGTGCCAGGAGGTACAGTGGACGGAGGTGGGGAGGGGCCTTTTTACGCCACTTGAATATAACAATTCTTAATAATTTGCCACACACTGAAAAAAAAAAGATAAAAGAAATAAAGGCGGTGTGTGTGCGTGTGTTGTGGGGAGGGGAGTAGTGTTTTTAAAGATGAGGGACTATTTTAAGATTATATGCTTTTGGTTCTGACCAGTAAATTTCGAATCTCAGCAAAAAATCCTCCGCAATTTCTCATATGGGCAGAATTATGTAGGTTTGGTTGTGATGTCCTTGTATGGGTAGGCAACATGAGTGTGGTTAAAACAGAGAGAGAGAGAGGGAGATGGCGATGTAACAATGACTCCAAAAATTACCAGCTCTCCTATTCCCTTTCCTTCCTTTCCAAAATAAAAGCCAACAAAAAGCTAATAACCAAAGGATTCTCTCGTATATTTCTTGATACTTTGATGGTGATGGTTTTTCCTCTCTTTCATTTTTTAATATATTTTATCAGGACAAAAACCACACTATCCATTCTTTTTATAGATGACGATTCATGTCTTGCGAGTTGAGAGTCAAAACCTGCGTTGATTGCATTCCAAGGGAATAAAATGAGAAGAAAACATCAGCACACATCCTTTGAAATTTAAAAGCTATAGTGTCAAATTACATAAATGCCCACCATTCATGCCAACCATATCGGTAAAATTGACCAAAATCCTGAACTTTTCCTAATTTCCGAACAGCAGAACATGCAACAACATTATGCCCAAAAGCAAAATGAAGATAATTTTGTCACTTTTAAACTTGATGTTCAATAAATCAAGGCTTGAATCCAAACTTCATGGATCAATAATTATGTTTCACGGTGAAAAGAAAAAGAAAACCAAAAACAAGAAGCGAGACAATAGTGATATAGCAACCGGCCTGGCCGAATCTAGAGCTCGATACCCCACCAAGGATTTAAAGAAAGGCAATGTCTTGGTAAGACCCCACTGGCATGTTAACTTGTCAATTATTCAAGCATGGCCATGACGTCGTGCACTGTAAATTGCAACTAATTCGAATTCAGAAAGCTTAATTTTTTATAAATAATATTTAATATCTCTCATCTGTTTTAAATTCTTAATTGCATTTCATTTATTTTAAAAATTTTTTAAAATGTTTAATCTATTATTTCGAATAAATTTTCCATCCATATTTTAGTTAACCGAAATACACTTTACTAAAATGCAAAAAAATTAAAAAACAAAAAATATTCTATTTTTGAAGATTTTAGAATTTTTTTTTATATTTCAATCAGAGATATTTCGATCAAATTTTTTTATTTAATCTGAAAATTTGATCTGAAGAACAGATTAAACATTTCAAACACATTTAAGAAAAAAAAATTGAAAATCTAGATGCAAATGAGAGACATTAGGTACAAACAAGCATGTTTACTCCTTCTTTTTTGCTTTTTTTTTTTTTTTTTGTTTTACTTTTTCTTGAAAAAGTTTGTATGGGTTTCTTTCCCAGGAAACTGTGACATGCTGTGCTTCACTAGTTTTAGGTTTGGTTTATGTTAGCATCATATTTTATCACCAATCGTACGGATTGCTTATGCAGGCATGTTAAAGCCCTTTGAAAAAGAAAGAAATGATCCTCCACTAAGACACCTTTTCTTTGTCTGCTAGGTGCTAACCTATGAATCCGACTCTCTACCTTTCTCCATGAACCCTGATCCATGTGGATGGACAAAATAATGACCTAACCTACTGGCTTAAAGTAACCCCCAGGCTTCGTTAGCCTAAATAAAAGTTGTTGCTAGTACTCTTTGCCCCTTGAGCTTGTGGGTGATACTTCCAAGTATGGAAACCAGGGATCTCATTAAGCCATTTACGGTAAAAAGAGAGAAAATGGCATCAGCGAACAGCATCACATGTACCTGTACAGTACAAAAATATTGCTTTCACATGCTGCCTTTCTGTTATCACAGATGTATGAACTAGCAGAGTTTCTTTCTTTAGTGTGTTCATAAAGCATGATCCAGTACATTTTTTCACGTTTCTACTTGTATTCTATATTAATGGTTATGCACTTCCTCTTTGTATGTCACACAATGGAAAAACAAAAACCCTACTAGCATTCCTTGAATGCCTATGTAATGAAATAGAAGGATACATAAAAAAATAGGATCCTTATGCTTCGTATTCCAGCTAATTTAAATATGTAATAGTTAGATATTTGAGTTATGCTATAGTTAGAGAATCATTATATATATATAGAGTTAACAACTTAACGATTTGTATGTTCGGTGTGAGTAAAAATTTTGTTTCTAATTATTAATGTAAATCGAATCTATATATTAAATAAAATCGTTTGATTTATCTATATTTACTAACAAAATATTTAATAATATTAGCATAAAATTTTTATTTGAATAATTGGAAGCTTTTTTCAAAATATTATTTAAATTATTTTATTTAAAAATACAAATTTTAGAACATGAAAATAAAAATAACAAATAGTTGATATTATGTGTGCGGATATATAGTTAATTTCTAACAAAAACTAATATATATATATATATTATGTTCATACTTAACGATTCGAGTACGTAGAATAAATAGAAAAATATATAAAAAAACCCACCTAAATTGTATGAAATATATTGAAGTCAATAGATTAAAATAAAAACTACTACAAAATTAGTTCCAATAAATTCTAATTATATATATAAAAAAGCAAATAAAACTTATAAATTTCTTTTAATCGATTGTTAGTTTTTTTAAAAAACAATTGAGTCAAATTATCTAAAACTCTCTCCCTCTCTCTCTCTCTCTCTCTCTCTCTCTCTCTCTCTCTCTCTCTCTCTATATATATATATATATATATATATATATATATATATATATATATATATATATATAATCATAATCTATAAATTATAATAATATTTTTTTAAAAATGAAACACTCACTTTCTAAATTTTTATTCCAAAATTTACATATAAAAAACCAATTTTATGAATAGATAAAATTAAAAAAATGTCATATATATTCTATTACCATCAAAATGTACATAAAACTAAAAATAATAACGATTTATTTTTTATATTTTTCATACCTAATTTCATGATAAAAAAAAATATAAGAAGAAAAAAAAGAAGAAAAAATGTATGGCTCGAGCGTTTGGGTCGCTTGTGCAAGCCCGAGCGTCGAGCTAGTTTAGAGCAATTAGGCTCGCTTAGTCAAGTCGGGGTAGCGCGTTTAGGCTTAGATGTGCGGGCCCGTGCGCCAAGGTTGGGCCACTTAATCCCGAGCGCCTAGGCCCTTTCGAGCCTCGCTTCTCCAAGCCTAGGTTGCTTGGTCGGCTAAAAAAAAAAAAATCCGCAACTTTCGACGAACTCAAACTCATCGAAGCTTATTTGAAAAATCACAAGTCAAGTTTTAAATATCAATAAACTCAATTTTGGCATTATTTTGTTCCCTAAACACTTCTAAATGACCAAAATATAGTCAAAAAACACTTTTAAAACCTTAAAAATCATTTTAATGCACATTAAAAAAAATGCATAATCAAATTAGAAATTTTTTCTTCTTTTTTGGCTTCGATCTACTTCAATTATTTGATAGCTTGAAACCACTATAAAAAAACTCATCTCTCAAAAATAAAAAAACTAATAGAGTTTCATCGACTAAAGTGACTCAAATAAGCTTGGCTAACACTCTCTCTCCTCTTGTATCTCTCTTCTTTCCTCCCTCCTCTCTATTCTAGGGACCAAAATGTATTAGCAAATGAAAATATGGATCAAAATAAAAATTTCAAAAAAATTTAGGAACCAAAATGTGAAAAATTGTAAAGCTACATTAAATGAACAATGATTACCATTCAAACACTCTAGTTCTTTTAGTTTTTTTACTAGTTAGTTGCTCGCGCTACGTCGCGAGTCCGATAGAACAAAATCATTTTAAAATTTTATAATTATAATTTTTTATTTAATTAATTTTTCTAATGTTTTATGAAAATTTTTTGCCTAAAAAAACATAATTAATTCTTCTTTATGGATTGATTTTAAAATAAAAGGTTGTAATAATTTGAATTAAAATATTAATCAAGAATTAAAAAAACTTTAAAAATATATTTTTCATAATATTATATTCCAAAAAAAAAACTTATAATTAACGGATATGCTTTTATAAAAATTAACAAATGCAATTTTTTTCTTATTTAATGTTAATGAGAAGATTAATTTTTGAAATTATCTACGCAACGTTGCGGATAGATAGAATAAAATCATTTCAAAATTTTATAATTTAATTATTACTATTTTTTTGTGTTTTTCATAAGATTTTCTCTTTAAAAAATGATTTATTCTTCTTTATTTATGGATTCTTAAATAAAAACTCGTAATAATTTAAGTATAAAATATTAATTAAGAATTCAAAAAAAATACTTTAAAAATATTTTTTTATTAAGAATATATCCACAAAACAAAAAGTTACAATTAATGTACGGACTTGCATAAAAATTAACTAATGAAAAAATAAAATTTTATTCTTATTTTATGTTGGAAATAAGTTTTTTTTTTTTTTTTAAGTATATGCATTTGATCTATATATATTTATTTACAAAAAAATCAATAAAATTAGCATTAAAAAATATGTTTGAATAATTGGTTGGTTCTTTTAAAAAATTATTTTAATTATTTTATTTCAAATAAATTGGTTCTATAATGTTAAAAGAATATTCATAGCAAATAATTTGTATTACGTTGGAAGATTTATAGTTAATTTTTGATA